TAATTTTCTTTCCTTGTAGTGTCTTTTCCTGCTTTTGGAATTAGAATTATGCTGGCCTCATAAAACGAGTTTGGAAGTCTTCCTTCTTCTTGAATTTTTTGAAATAGTTTGAAGAGAATGGGTATTAGTTTTTCTTTGAATGTTCAGTAAAATTACCCCGTGAAGCCGTCTGGGTCTGGGCTTTTGTTTGCTGGGAGAGTCTTGATTATATCTTTAATTTCTTTTGTTGTTATTGAGCTGTTCAGGTTTTCTATCTCTTCCCGGTTCAGTTTTGTGTTTCTAGAAATTTGTCCATTTCGCTTAGATTGTCGAATTTCTTGCCGTATAATTCTTCATCATATGTGTTAATCCTTTGTATTTCTGTGGTGTCAGATATTATTTCTCTTCTTTCATTTCTGATTTTGTGTATTTGGGTTCTCTCTTTTTGTTTCTTCGTGAGTCTAGCTACGGGTCCATCAATCTTGTTTATCTTTCAAAGAACCAGCTCTTAGTTTCATTGATCCTTTGAATTGTTTTTTTGGTCTCCATGTCATTTATTTGTGCTCTGATCTTTACTATTTCCTTCCTTCTACTTGCCCTGGGGTTTTCTTTTTTTTGTTTGTTTGTTTCTAGTTCTTTAATTTGTGAGGTTAGGTAGTCTATTAGATATTCTTCTTGCTTCTTGAGGTAGGTCTGTAGTGCTATGAACTTCCCTCTCAGAACTGCTTTTGCTGTATCCCATAGATTTTGTGTTGCTGTGTGTTCATTTTCATTGGTTTTCAGGAAGTTATTAATTTCTTCATTGATCTCCATGGTAACCCATTCATTGTTCAATAACATGCTATTTAGCCTCCATGTTTTCAAATGTCTTTGCATGTTCTTGTTGCAATTGATTTCTCATTGCATGCCATTGTGGTATGAGAAGATGCTTGATATGATTTCAATCTTCTTGAACTTGTAGAGACTTAGTTTGTGCCCTAACATGTGGTCTATCTTTGAGAATGTCTCATGTGCACTTGAGAAGAATGTGAATTCTGCAGTTTTGGGGTGTGATTCTCTTAAGATATCTATTAAATCCATTTTATCTAGCCCTTCATTTAGAGTCTGTGTCTCCTTGTTAATTTTTTGTCTAGAAGATCTATCCAGTGATGTCACCAGGGTATTGAAGTCCCCTGCTGTGATTGTATTACTGTTGATTTCTCCTTTGAAGTCCTCCAAAAGATTTTTAATATATGTTGGTGCACCTATATTGGGTGCATATATGTTTACCAAGGTTATATCTTCCTGTTGGATAGATCCTTTCGATATTATGTAGTGGCCTTCTTTATCTCTAGTTATGGTCTTCATTTTGAAATCTACTTTATCAGATATGAGTATTGCTATCCCAGCTTTTTTTTTTTCCTTTCCGTTTGCTTGAAAAATTTTTTTCCATCCCTTCACTTTCAACCTATGTGAGTCTTTTGTTGTGAGGTGGATCTCTTGTAAACAACATATATGTGAGTCATGCTTTCTTATCCAGTCAGCTACTCTGTGTCTTTATCGGAGCATTCAAACCATTTACATTTAAGGTGATAATTGATATGTACTTATTTCTTGCCATTTTTGTTCCGTGTGGTTGTATTTTTCTTCTTATTTCTTCTACTAATTACAGAAGTTCCTTTAGCATATCTTGCAGTGCTGCTTTGGTGTTAATATATTCCCTTAGCCTTTTTTTGTCTGGAAAGCTCTTTATTTGACCTTCTGTTTTGAATGATAGCCTTGCTGGATAGAGTAGTCTTGGATTCAGATCCTTGTTTTTCGTGACCTTGACTATTTCATGCCACTCCCTTATTGACCCGTCCCTCAGGTCGAGCAACGAGGACTCTAGAGGGGGAGTGAGGATGAGGAGGGACAAGAGACAGAGAAATGGAGACAAGACAGGGCTCTGATCAAGTCTCTTTATTCTGGGGAGATCCACACTATATATAGGGCAAGAAGCAGAAAAACAAGAACATTTGTTGCCAAGCGATAAGTTTGTGGTAACCACCCCGAAGAAATTTCAAGTAAATATCACGGGTGGAACAAAAGATAAACAGAGCATAACTGACTGAGTATATGGTTACTTAAAGGAATGCAGAAACATTGTATGCAGAGCAGATTTTAACAAAATGGATGCCATGCAAAAAGTCTCCCACACCTTATGGCCTGTAGTGTTTCTGTTGAGAAGTCAGCTGAGAGCCTTATGGTGTTTCCTTTTTAGGTAACCTGTTGCTTATCTCTTTCTGCCTTTAGGATTCTCTCTTTGTCTTTAATTTTTGGCATTTTAATTACTATGTGTCTTGGTGTGGGCCTGTTTGGGTTCTTCTTACTTGGGGCTCTCCATGCTTTTTGAATTGAATGCCTTCTTCCTTCACCAAGTTAGGAGAGTTTTCTGTCACTATTTCTTCACATATATTCTCTAACCCTTGCCCATTTTCTTCTTCTTCGGGGACTCCTATGATCCGTATGTTATTACGTTTCTAGTGTCCCATAGTTCTCTTAAGCTGTCTTCCTGTTTTTTAATTGTTTTTTCCTTTTGGTTTTCTGATGATTGATTTTTTCTACCCTGTCTTCTAATTCATTGATCCGGTCCTCAGCTTCCTCTACTCTGCTGTTTAGTCCTTCCAATGTGCTTTTGATCTGCTATGTCATTCTTCATTTCCACTTGATTGGTTTTTAATGTTTCTATATCTTTACTCATGGTGCTGATGTCCTTACTCATGCTGTTGAGCTTCCACAAGATCATGGTTCTGATCTCTACCTCTCATAATTTGCTTGGCTGCATTTCATTTATCTCATCTTCGATAGAGTTCTCTTGTTCTTTAATTTGGGATTTGTTTATTTGTTTCACCATTTTGGCTATGTTAATGTATTTTGGAGCCTGCCAAATTTTCCCTGTGGGTGTTGTGTTCTGTTTGTGGCTCCCTCTGCTGGGTTTGGATGGGCCTGGGCAGGCCCACGTTAAACACCACTGTGAAGTCTTACTTTCCTGGGTAGATTTGCAAGCCCAGGAAAGGTTCAGTTATCCTCTAGGTTTTCCTGGAGGCTAGTAGTCTTCAGTTACTTAGTGCCTTGGAATGTATCCCTGGTGTTCTGCATGAAAGGATTTACAGAGGGTGGGATAGTTGCTGGTTATTAATGAACCTAAGTTTGCATTTCTTTGCCTCACCTGGGAAAGGATGAATCTCCGGGGGGGGGAGGGGGCTGCTGCTTTTCCCCATAGCTCGGAGAAGGAGCATACTGGCCACTGGCCTTTGTGGCCGCAATTCACTAAAAACTTCTGATTGCCTTCCAAATCCCGGGTGTCCCCACAGAGTTCCAGCCCAGTCTGCCCTCCCTCTGCGGTAGCCCCCAGGTGAGTGGCTGTGGCTATTTTAGAGCTCTTTCCAGGCTCTCTGAGCTGAGGAGTGGGCTTGGTCTTTATTCCCCAGGGGCGCTGCTCACAGCTAAGACTGCTATTGTCCATGGGCTCCCAGCCCGCCACCCTCTCCTGCCTCTGCAGATCCTACCAGTGTCCCTGGTTATATGGCCCTGTCCTGCTGCTTTTCTGTTGCTTTTTTCTGAGGATTTGTCTTTATTTTAATTGTAGTTCCATTTGGTCTTGGGAGATTGTCTGCGTAGCTTCTATTTGCTCCACCTCCATTTTCACATCCTGTATGCCTATCTTGTGTGCAGCTGGGTCGCACAGGCCTATCTGGTGCCCCAGCACCCTGTAGGTCCCACAGGTAACTGGATCGCCCAGTCCCTTTGGGGACAAGGCTCTATGCCTATGTTATGGGCTGCTGGGTCGCACAGGCCTCTCTGGTGCTTCAGCACCCCGCAGGTCCTGTGGGTAACTAGATCACACAGTCTCTGCTGGGTTGCACAGGCATCTCTGGTGCTTCAGCACTCCGCAGGTCCCATGGGTAACTAGATTGCACAGTCCCTGCTGGGTCACACAGGCCTCTCTGGTGCCCTCACACCCTGCAGTTCCCGAGGGCGGGCAGCTGGATCACACCAATCTCTCTCGGGCTCCGGCTTCCCACTGCACTTGCGGGCTACTGGACCACACAGGCCTCTGTGGAGTCCCAGGTCCCACCGTTGGTGGCTGGGGAGTGCTGCTTCTCAGCTTTTGCTGTAGTTTGGGGGGATGGGTCTCAGCTGCTGTCCTGTGCTTTTGTTGCCTAGGGATGGATATCTGCTCCAAAATCTGGCTTTGTAAAAAATAGATAAACAAAATTGGTAATCTTTTAGATTGACCGAATAAGAAAAATAAATAAAACTCAAATTACTAAAATCTGAAATGAAAGATGGGACATTACTATCAATCTTACAGAAAGAAAAAAGATTAAAAGAGAACACTATGAAAGACTACATTCCAACAATTAGATAATCTAGATGAAATGGAAACAATCCTAGAAAGACACAAACTACTGAAACAGAGTCAAGAAGAAATAAAAAGTCTGAATAGATCTGTATCAAAGTGATTAAACTGGTAATCAAAAAACTGTTAACAAAGTAAAGCCAGTTACCAGATGGTTTCACTGGTAAATTCTATCAAACATTAAACAAAAAACACCAATGCTTTACAAAATCTTCTAAAAAATTATAAAGGAGGGAGTACTTTCCAACCGATTTATGAGACCACTACTATACTCATACAAAAACTACACAAAGACATCACAAGAAAAGAAAGCTACATCCCTTATCAATATACATGCAAAAATCCACAACAACATACTAGCAAAACTAATCCAGCAACACATAAAGAAAATTACATGCCATAACCAATTTGGATTTATTCCAAGGCAGGACGTTTCAACATCTAAATATCAGTCAACATAATATACCACATTAATAAAGGACAAAAGTAATATAATTATCTCAATAGATAAAGAAAACACATTTGACAAAATTCAACACCACCTAATGATAAAATTCTCAACAAACTTAAAAATACATGTGAAACTTTTCAACTTGATAAAAAGCATCTATGAAATATCCACAATTAACGTCATACTTACATAACTTCTATTCAACATTGTAGTGGAAATTCTAAACAGGAAAATGAAGCAATAAAAACAAGGCATTAATGTTGGAAAGGAGGAAGTAAAACTAGCTCTATTTGGAGATGACATGAGTTTAGCAAGTCTGGAGGATACAAGATCAATATACCAAAAAAAAACAGTGATTTTTCGTTTCTAGTGTACAAGTTAGATTATTTCCTTAATTTTATTTTAGACATTTTTATTGCTACTGTGGAAAGCAATTTGGCAGGATCTTAAGTTAAACATAGGGTTACTGTGTGACCCAGCAATTCCACTCCTAGTTATATTCTCAGAAAATTGAAAACATGTTCCCACAGCAACTTATAAACAAATGTTTCTGGCAGCATTATTTACAACAGACAAAAAGTGGTAACAACAAATGTCCATTAATTAATGAATGGATACACAAAATCCATACAGTGGAAAATTACTCAGCTATTATAAGGAATGAAGTACTGCCCTGACCATGTGACTCAGATGGTTGGAGTGTCTTCCCATACACCAAAAAGTTGAGGGTTTGATTCCCTGGCAGGGCACATACCTAGGTTGTGGGTTCATTCAGTCCCCAGTTGGGGTAAATATAGGAAGCAACCAATCAGTGTTTCTCTCTCACATCAATGTTTGTTTCTCTCTTTCTCTCTCTCTCTCTCTCTCTCTCTCTCTCTCTCTCTCTCTCTCTCTCTCCCCTTCCTCTCTCTCTAAAAGTCAATAAAACATATCCTTAGGTGAGGATTTTTTTAAAAAGGAATGAAGTACTGATACATGCTACAACATGAATACATGGATAAACTTTGACAACATTCTGATATGTGAAAGAAGTCAGTCACAAAAGACCACAGACTATTTTTGCATTGACGATAAATGTCGAAAATAGGCAAATCCATAGAGATATAAAGTAGCCTAGGGTTTGGGGGCAGGGGCATGTTAAGCAGGAAAGTAGTGGAAATGAATGACTCCTAATAGGTAGGGGATTTCTTTTATGAGCCTTGAAAATATTCTAAAATAAAATAGTAAATATGGTTGTACAATTCTCTGAATATGTTAAAAACCACTGAACTATATACTTTAAATGAATGAATTTTATGGTATGTGAAATATGTCTCAGTGCTGGAAGAAAAGGCAGCAACAATAAATACAAATAATGATAATTTGATGGCATTTATCCCAGTTGCCTTCTTACTAGCTGTGCATTTTGAGCAGGCTACTAAATTTTTTCAACTCTTAGGCTCACTATCATAAAATAAAAGGAGCCCCTAGAATTGTTGTAACAAATGAGATGATGCATGTAAAGAACTAAGTACAGTGACTGGCACATAGTAAGTGGTCAGCAAATGGTATTATTATTACTATGTTTCAGTAACTCAATACCAGTCCTAGTTCTGGTACACTCCAATGTATTCCCAGTTTTCCCACAGTAACCTCAAGAAAGGAACTTACTTAACTTCTCTGATCCTAGCCTGCCAATGTGATGTTTTCTACATAGGCAGATGAATAGATCATCCAGCCATTTTGTTTGTTTGTTTGCTGATCTGCTTGTTTGCGTGCTTTTTGAGTGATGTGAGTGAGGGTTGACATATTGAAGAAAAGGTTTGTAAAACGAAACAAACAATAGGATACCACACCTTTAGATCTTATGGGTATCCATTTATCTATTCATTCATTCAGCAAGAATTTAAGTGTCTGCCATGTGCTAGAGTCTAGCAGCTAGACTGTTTCAGGCTCTTTCTAGTAAGAGATATGGACATTAAATACCAAGAAAAATTAAGTAAATAATTACATATAATAATTAGTGAAAAGAAGTTTAAGAAGAGAGGAGTTCATAGGCAGAGAAGTTGGGAGCATCTAATTAGATTTGGTGATTATAGAAGGCTTCTGAGAAGAGGTGACATATAAGCTGGGACCCAAGGATGAGAAGTAGTGTTCATGAAAATAGTGGGCCCACTTGAGATTTCAGCTAGAACTGCTGTGAACAGTTTGTGTGAGCTCAGACTCATCTCATCATGCAGTGTCCCAGTTCAAGCATACAGAAAGAATGTCCTCTCATTTTCTGTTTCAGGGATTTTGCTAAAACCTCAGAATCCACTAAGCCAATGCTCAGGAACTTTAAGGGAGTTAATACCACTAGGGGGCAATCATCAACTAATGGGAGAGCTAGTAGATGAATGGTCTAGCCTCCATTCTTTCAAGTGTCAATTCTGGGGAGGTATTTTCTATGCTTCTGTGATATCCTGGCATAATCACGTCCCAATTGTCTCCATAAATGACTTCAATAAAGACCCTAATATTGGCATTTCTTTCTTTCCTGTTTTGTGCTCTTTTCTCTGTTATCCCTACTTCTTAAGCTCATCTCCAAGATAAACTACCAACACTCAAGTCCTTATCTCAGGTTCATGCAGTGAGGGGTAATTTAAAGCAAGACAAGTTGAAAAGTTGAAGTAATAGTACTCCAGACAGAGGCCATAGCATATGTCAGGTGTGAGGGACTGATTCACAGACCATAGAAAGAGGTTGTAATTGTATTTTAAAATGCAATATGAGTTCACTAAAGAGTTTCAGGTAGAAAACGTGTGTGTGTGTGTGTGTGTGTGTGTGTGTGTGTGTGTGTAGCAGAATTCATGTGTATGGGAAGGGATTGTGGAAAAGTGAAAGGGAGAATGTTCCAGGCTTGAAATTTTGGGTGTTCTAGTTCTGCCATTGACTTATTGTGTGACCTGACTATTTCAGTTTTAGAGTTTCTTTGCCATTGATTGAAAGGAAATGCAATACCTATAAAAGAACACTAGATTAGGCATCCAAAACTTGGGTTTTAATGAAGTGTAACTTTTTCTTTTTACAGTTGTGAAATATCAAGTCCCTTAATTTTTTCAAATCTACTTCCTCATTTGTAAAATGAGGACAGTTAGAGCTTCCTCATGAGGCTTTTATTTTTTTTTTTTTTTTTTTTTTTTTTTTTTTTTTTTTTTTTTTTTTTTTTTTTTTTTTTTTTTTTTTTAATCCTCACCCGAGGAATTTTTTCGATATTTTGTTCAGATAGAGTGGGAGGGAGAGAGAGAGAGAAACATCGACGTGAAAGCGACACATCGAGTGGTTGCCATCCACACGACCCAACCAGGGCCGGGGACAAACTGCAACCAAGGTACGTGCCCTTAGCGGGAACCGAACCCGGGTCTCTCCGGACCGCAGGCCGACGCTCTAACCGCTGAGCCAAACCGGCCAGGGCTCATGAGGCTTTTTATAATGTAAAATAAGACCTTCCAAATTTATTAGAAGGTTAGAAAATAGATTACTCTTAATTAACAGTTGGTAGTAAAGAAATTGCTTTAATGTATCTTAATTCAGGTACAATGGTGCCAAGTTTGTTGTATTAAGCCATTTTATACTTACTGAGAAGTATGTTCCCACAATTCACCAGGGTTGATACTGTAAGCCTCCTCCCCCAAAAATCTAAACTTCTACCTCCTGAAACAGCTGGAGAACACAGGAAAAAACTTCCATTTCTCCCTGCCACCAACTGGATGGTGTGGGATGGCCTCAATTTTACCTTGAATGCCTGTAAGTGTCAAAGCCTGGAGAAAATAAGCCTAATATTAGCTGGTCATTATTTTCCTCTATGAATAATGTGTTAAGAGGTAAATCAAGTAGGGAAATCATTGGACTTACTCTCTAATCTACTTAAAATTGCCAACATCTGGGTGAGCCATTTATCAGTGAAATAGCAGGCATACTAGCAAGAGATTTGATAAATGAATTAGGGAATGTTACACAGCTATGTCTAATCATAATTTAATTTTTTCAATTTTTTTCCTTTATTGATTTTAGTGAGTGAGGGAGAGAGAGATAGAAACATCAATGAGAGAGAACATCAATTGGCTGCCTCTTGCATGCCCCCCACTGGGGATCAGGCTCACAACCTGGGCATGTGCCCTGCTGGAATCAAACTGGCAACCTCTTGATGCATGGGTCAACACTCAACCACTAAGGCACACCAGTAGGACTCTAATCATAATTTAATTAACATCAGCCATCTTGCTATTTTATAGGAAGAGTATGTTGGATATCCCACTAATAGAGAATATTTGTTGATAATAACTTCTTTTAAAAACAATTTCATCAATTCTTAATTATAAAAGTGGATGGTTCATACGAAATCTTAAATAAAGAAGGAACTAAGATCTAGGAAGTGGTTGAGGGGAAAGATTCAAGAATGGCTCCTCTTCAATTTGGAATAAAGCCTCAATAGCCCCATAAAGTACTCTCTTGACAATCTACTCCATTCATCCCAGCCAAGCATAGGGTTTCTTGGTGTCCTGCTCCAACTACTTTTTCACCCCTAGCAGATAATTCTGATTTCCTTGATAGACTTCTCATTTGGAACTATGAAAAAAATATATACCACCACCATGAATGAATAAGCCAGGAAAAAAAGACCTTTGAAAATATGCCTTTCCCATTCTTATGCCCACTTACCATAATTTCAACCTGGCTATAGTACTAAAAACAGAAGTAGAAAAACATTTTTCTATCACGTGCTACTGACTCAATGGGGAGAAAAAATCAATCAAGGGTCAACACACAAGTGAACACTATCTTTCCTAATTCAAATTTTTTGAAGCATAGTGAACAGAGGTTCAGTTCCTCTGTTTTAAGTTTATAAAATGAAACAAAGTTTTCTTAAAATAAGTGTAAAAATAATAATACACTTTGATTGAAAGAGAAATACTGGGAAAGGGGAACACCAGGATTAAAGAGTGGTGAAACAATAAAAACTGGAGAGTATTATGCTGAGCAAAATAAGCCAGTCAGAGAAAGACAAGTACCATGTGATCTCACTTATTTATGGATCATAATGAACAAAATAAGCTGTCATCCAAAATAGATCCAGAGTCATGGAAGTAGGGAACAAACCAACAAACCTGAGAGAGATATGGGGGTAGGAGGGGTGGGAAGAGATAAACCAAAGTACTTATATGCATATATGCATGACCAATGGACACAGATATTAGGTTGGGGAAGGCAGGAGGGGAATGGGAGTGGGGAGGAAGGGGTCAAAGAAAAAAAGGGGGGACATCTGCAATACTGTATACAATAAAAAAAAATTGGGCATGATAAAACAAAAGACAGAGACAAGCATTCACCTCTCCCACCTGGGGAAGAGATCCCCACACCCCTAAATTCTGTGCCTCACCTGGAAGTGTACCCACTCCCATGTCAGCTCCATCCCAGGTTCCTAGAAATTCTTACATACATACATACACACACACACACACACACACACACACACACACGCCTTATAAATTGTGTGTTTCCCTGTTCTCCACATTTGGACTGTCTTTCCAGTTTTTGAAAGATGCCATCTCTCCCTGCAATAGCCTCTTTTTTGGGCCAGGTAGTTAGTTATGCTGTGGTTGCCTGGCATTTTTCAAATCCTTAGTATTTTTTATCTCCAGCCATGAGAATTTAGATAGTTTCCAGGTTTTCTCTGAGTTACTAACTTTTTAAATTCTACCTCCCAGTTTTTTTCTTACCCAATATCTGCATTTTTGTCAATGTTCTATTTTCAAAATTAGAAAACAACCTAATGGACTTCTTTGGTTTTTCGGGTCCCTAAATGATGTTGAATTTACTGGAATTTTAAAGTTCAAAGGAACTATGAAGGTCATCAAATTCATCTCCCTTGTTGGAATTGTAACCTCCCTCAATTCCTCCAATCTCTCTAACCTAACTGCAGATCCCTTTAACTATTAGAAATTCCTATTTTAGATTTAGGTAATAACTTTCTTTCTGTCTTCCTCTTTGGAATCACGTAGAACAAAACTTGTCATTGCCCTGTGACAACATTTTAGCTAGCTGTATAAATTTACCTTATCCCCTACTCCACTGAAACTCCAAACATTCTCTAGATAAAACAAACCCAACCCCTTTAACAGTTATGCTATATGTCAGATTTTCAAAGCCCTACAACAGACAGTCTTCTTGTTTTCCTTAGAATAGCTTTATTATTATAATTAACATTATATAGTTTCTGTTCATATAAAGTCTTGTTTCTTGAAATACCACGTTTACCTTATGTAAATTTAGAATATAATAAGTAAATATGCTTCAGTTCATGCTGACGTTTTAGATTTTAACATAAGTGAGTTGAACAATGGGACAGAAAGCTAATGACTGGCATGCTTTGCTTAAATATCAGGAAAACCTTTCCTGATCTCCACTCCTGCCAAGTAAGTTAGATAACCTTGGACACTCCTCTGTGCAACTTATTTTTGAAATTATTTGCTTAATTCTATATTCCTCAATAAAGGATAAGCTCTAACAGAGCAAAGAGTAAAAAATAAAGTTTGTCTATATGCAGGTGCTAACACAGTACATGGCACATAATAAAGCCCTCACATGTATCTGTTTATAGAATTCATAAATCAAAGAACTTTTATAATCCTGAAATTTGAAGATACCTAAAATCCCTATTTTTCAGATGGGTGAACTGAGGGCTGATGTCAAAATATTTGTCCAAGATTACACAACTGTTTGGTGAGAGGTCTGTAATATTAGATTTTGACATTCTTCCCACTCCACTGATATTCTACAATGTAAGGCCATGCTCATGTAGTTAATCCAGGGGCTCCAGCTATGCTAGTGGTTAAATTGAATAAAAGATGGCCACCAAGAATAATTCCTCTATCTATTGATTTCAAATTAAATATCAAATTAAATAATCTACATTTGAAAATACATTTTTATTTTATTTTTTAATTTATCTTTATTGCTGAGAGTATTACAGATGCCCCTCTTTTTACCCCCCATTGACACCCTCCTCCTTGCTCCTCAACCCTGCCTTCAACTCACTCTTGTCTGTGTCCATTGGTTACGCATACATGCATATAAGGTTTTTGGTTTATCTCTTCTCAACCCTTCCCCTCTTCTCTCTGAGATTCCTCAGTCTGTTTCCTGCTTCCATGTCCCTGGATCTATTTTCTTTATCAGCTTATTTTTTTAATTAAATTCCACATATAAGTGAGATTATGTGATATTTGTCTTTCTCTGACTGGCTTATTTCACTTAGCATAATATTCTCTAGGTCCCTCCATGCCATCTCAAAGTGTAAGAGATCCTTTTTTCTTACAGCTGCATTTTTTTTAAAAAAAGCATGACATTTTACTGTATTGCTGGAATGAATTGTGAATTCACAAGGTTCAGGTGTCATCCTGTTTACCAGGGAATTTTCATAAACATTACAGAGAGAAAAACAAAATACATCAAGTTTCTTGGTTTAAAAAGATGCTTAACTGCTTCCTCCTTGATATTTTACCACTTTACACTCACACTGTCCACTGTATAGCTACAACTCACATGTGGCTAGTCAGAATTCAGATGTGCTGTGTCAAGTATATACCACATTTCTAAGATTTAGTGAAAAACATATGTAATATATCTCATTAATAATTTTGTATTAGTTACATAATGGAATAATAATACTTTGGATATACTGGGTCAAATAAAGTATATTAAAATTAATATGACATTTTTAAAATCTTTATGGAGTCTTAAAGAAATTTAAAATTACATATATGATACCCATTGATGATAAAAGCTCTCAGAAAATTAGGAATAGACAAGGACTTCCTCAACTTGATAAAAAAAAATCTTTATTCCACTCACTCTACAAAAATATCTACAGGTAACATCATACTTAATGGTGAAAGGCTGAATGCTTTTCCCCTAGTATCAGGAAGAAAGCAATGATATCCACTCTTATTTGACATAGTATTAGAAGTTCTAGCCACTTCTATAGGCAAAGAAAATAAGTAAAAGGCACACAAATTGGAAGACAAGAAATAAAATTGTCACTATTTGCAAACATGTTAATCTATGTAAAAAAAAAAAAAATCCCAAGGTTTCAGAATATATGATTAACATACAAAATCAATCACATGCCTATATACTAACAATGAACATAAAAAAACTGAAATTAAAAACACAGTAACATTTATAATTACTCCAAAAATAAATATAAATAATTAGACATACCCTTAACAAAACAAGTATGGGATTCTGTATGCTGAAAATTATAAAAAGCTTGTGAAACAAATCAAAGACCTAAAAAAAAAACAAAACAAAAAAAAACAGAGATATATATACCATATTCATGGATAGAAAAACTCAACTTAGTAAAGAATCAATTCTCACCAAATTAATATGCAGGTTTAATGTAATTCCTACAAAAATCCCAGCAAGGATTCTTGGAGATATAGGCAAGATTAATCTAAAATTTAGAAGCATATCTCATTTTATTGTGTTTCATTTTATTGCATGTTGCAGATATTGCATTTTTTCTACTTTTAATTTTAGTTAAAGTTTACAGTCAACATGACTAATTTGTATTAGTTTCAGGTGTGCAGCATAGCTGCTAGAAAATTATATACATTATAAAGTTTTCCCCCAATATTTCATGTACCCACTTGAAACAATACATAGTTATTATAATATTATTAATTTTATTGCCTATGCTTTATTTTACATCCCCATTAATATTTTGCAACCACAATTAGTACTTCTTAATCCCTTCACCTTTTTCACCTAGCTTTCAACATCCCTCCCATCTCATTCCATCATTCTGTTCTCTGTATCCATAAATCTGTTTCTGTTTTTTTTTTTGTTTTTTTTCATTTTGTGCTTCAGATTCTACATATAAGTGAAAGAAATCAAATGGTATTTGTCTATCTCTGTCTGAGTTAGTTCACTTAGCATAATACCCTCTAGGTTCATCTATGTTGTAACAAATGGTAAGGTTTCATTTTTTTATAGCCAAGTAATATTTCATTCTATATATGTACCATTGCGTTTTTATTCACTCTTCTATTGATGGGTACATGGGTTGCTTCCATATCTTGGCTATTGTAAATAATGCTGCAAAGAACATAGGGGTGCATGTATTCTTTCAAATTAGTGTTTGGGGTGTCTTTGGATATATACACAGAAGTGGAGTCACTGGGTCATAAAGCAGTTCTATTTTTAATTTCTTGAGAAAATTCCACATTGTTTTCTAGAGTTGCTGCACCAATCTGCATTCCCACCAGCAGTGCACTAGGGTTCCCTTTTCTCCACATCCTCACCAACACTTGTTGTTTGTTGATTTACTGATGATAGCCATTCTAACATGCATGAGGTGCTAACTCTTTGTGATTTTAATATAGATTTCTCTTATGATCAGTAATGTTAAGCACCTTTCATATGTCCATTGGCCATCTGTATGTCCTCTATGAAGAAGTATTCATTCAGTTCTCTGCCCACTTTTTAACTGGGTAGCATGTGTTTTTGTGGTGTTGAGTAGTATGAGTTCTTTATAAATTTTGTACACTAACCCTTTATCAGATGTATTATTGGTGAATATCTTCTTCCATTCGGTAGGTTGTCTTCCTTTATTGATAGTTTCCTTTACTCAGCAAAAAAATATATATATATTAGTTTGATGTAGTCCCTTTTTTTTTTTATTTTGTTTCCCTTGCCCAAGGAGATATGTCAGAAAAAAATACTGCTAAGAGAAATATCCAAGATTTTACTGCCTATGTTTTCTTCTATGAGTTTCGAGTCTTACATTTAAGTCTTTCATCCATTTTTTAAATTAATTTATTTATTTTTGTTACAGATGTTTCTCCTTTTCCCCCCACTGATTTCCCCCTCCCCATCCCTCCCCGCCCTGTCCCCAGCTTTGTTGTCAAGGTCCATTTCATGCATACATGTCTATAAGTTCTGTGGTTTATCTCTCCTCAACCACCCCCTCTTCTGGGGATGGTCAGTCTGTACCCCACTTCCACGTCTCTGGGACTACCCCATTCCTCAGACTGTTATGTTCATTATATTCCACAAATAAGTGAGATCATATGATGCTTGTCTTTCTCTGTTTGGCTTGTTTCACTTAGGATATTACTTTCCAGGTCCCTCCATGTCGTCTCAAAGGATAAGAGCTCTTTCTTTCTTACAGCTGCATAGTACTCCATTGTGTATATGTACCACGGCTTTTTTATCCATTTGTCTACTGATGGACATTTGGGCTGTTTCCAGATCTTAGCTATCGTAAATAGTGCTGCTACAAACATGGGGGTACATATATTCTTTCTGATTGGTGTTTCAGGCTTCTTAGGGTATATTCCTAGAAGTGGGATCACTGGGTCAAATGGAAGTTCAATTTTTAATTTTTTGAGATAACACCATATTGTTTTCCATAGTGGCTGCACCAGTCTGCATTCCCACCATCAGTGTACTAGAGACCCCTTTTCTCTACACCCTCACCAACACTTGTTGTTTGATGATTTGTTGATGGCGGCCATTCTGACAGGTGTGAGGTGATAACTCATGGTTGTTTTAATTTTCATCTCTCTGATGATTAGTGATGTTGAGCATTTCTTTATATATCTCTTGGCCATTTGTATGTCCTGTTTGGAGAGGTGTCTATTTAGCTCCTCTGCCCATTTTTTTAATTGGGTTCTTTGTCTTCCTTTTGTTGAGTTGTATGAGTGCTCTATATATTTTGGAAATTAACCCCTTATTTGATATATCATCGGCAATTATGCTCTCCCATACAGTGGGTTGCCTTTCCATTTTGATGATTGTATCTTTTGCTGTGCAGAAGCTTTTGAGTTTGATGTGTTCCCATGTGTTCATTTTCTCTTTTGTTTCTGTTGCCTTAGGTGATATATCAGTGAAAATTCTGCTGCGTATGAAATCTGAAATTTTGTTGCCTACAGTTTCTTCTAGGATTTTTATGGATTCATGAGTCACATTTAAGTCTTTCATCCATTTTGAGTTTATTCATTCATATGGTGTGAAAAAGTGACCTAGTTTCATTTTTTTTGCATGTATCTGTCCAATTTACCCAACAACATATATTGAATAAACTGTCTTTACCCCATTGTATGTTTTTGCCTCCTTTGTCATAGATTAACTGACCATGTAGGTGTGAATTTATCTCTGGGCTATTTTGTTTCTTTGATCAATGTATCTGTTTTTATACCAGTACAATGCCTTTTTAATTACTATAGCCTTGTAGTATTGTGTGATATCAGGTAGCATGATACCTCCAACTTTGACCTTCTTTTTCAAGATTGCTATGGCTAGCCAGTGTCTTTCATGGTTCTGTACAAATTTTGAATTATGTGTTCCAGTTCTGTGAGAAATGCCACTGATATTTTGATGGAAATTGCTTTGAACCTATAGATTGCCTTTTCTTGTCTGGCAAGCTATTTATTTCTCTTTCAATTTTAAATGATAGTCTTATGTCCTTACTTTTCATCACATTGACTATTTCATTCCAATCCCTTCTAGCCTTAAAAGTTTCTGTCAAGAAATCACCTGACAGTCTTATCGGCACGCCCTTGTAGGTAACTAACTTTCTTTCTCTTGCTGCTTTTAAGATTCATTTTTATCTTTAACCTTTGTCATTTTAATTATGGGGTGTCTTGGTGTGGACCTCTTTGGGTTCATCTTGCTTGCGATTCTGCACTTCCTGGAATTGTCGGTATTATTCTTTCACCATATTAAGAAAGTTTTCAGTTGCTATTTCTTCAAATATGTTCTTATTACTTTGTTCTCTCTCTTCTCCTTCTGGTACCCCTATGATGTGGATGCTGTTGCACTTCAACTATGCCAAAGGTACCTTAAACTATCCTCATTTTTTTAAGATTTTTGTTTGTTTGTTTGTTTGTTTGTTTGTTTGTTTTTGCTGCTCTGATTGGGTGTTATCTGCTACCTTGTCTTCTAAGTCATCGATTTGATCCTCTGCTTAATCTAATCTAACATTGATTCCTTCTAATGCAATCTTCATTTCAGATATTGTATTCTTCACTTCTGCTGGATCTTTATTATGGTTTCTACATCCCTTTTTATGCTTACTATCTCTGTGTGTTGAAGTTCTCACTGAGGTCATTCAATCTTTCCCCAAGTTTCTTGAGCATCTTTATAACCATTGTTTTTAACTTGCCTTCATTTCATTTACTTCTTTTTCTAGAGATTTCTCCTGTTCCTTTACTTATGACATGTTTCTTTGTTTATTTTGGCTACCACTCAGTGTTTATTTCTATGTATTCAGTAGATTTTCTATGTCTCTCAATCTTGGTAGGGTGGTCTTATGCAATAGGTGTCCTGTGAGACTGAGTAGTGCAGTCTCTATGAGGACCTGAGCTGGGTGCTTGCAGAATGTCTCTTCTGTGGATTATGTGAGCCCTCCATTACAATAGCCAAGATATGGAAGCAACCCAAGTGCCCATCAATAGATGAATGGATAAAAAAGCTGTGATGCATATATACAATGGAATATTACTCAGCCATAAAAAAGAAGGAAATCTTAACATTTGTTACAGCATAGGTGGTATTATGCTCAGTTATTGAGTTTTAATTGCTGTTGGCCCCACTGTGGGCAGGGTTGACCCTCAGGCTGGCTGGCTGTTAGTACTGACCTTGTCTACAGTGTATTAGCTGCTTTGCACAGGTTCATCTCATGAGGCAGAATTCACCCTGGCAGGTTCTTGTGCCTGTCAAGACCTCCTTTTAGGTGTGCTACCTATGGAGCTAATTGAGTCATATTCTGATATGGTGTGTAGCCAGCCAAAGGGTTTGTTGGTTCTGGGACCTCTTGTGAGAGACTCCGGTGCCTGTCAATGTCAGACACTTCCTGTTTTTGACCCCAGGCTGGACTTATATTAAATGCTTTACAAACTGATGGTAAGACCCTCCATTATGAGTTTCTGAAGGCTCAGATGATGGTTAGCAATTTTTTTTTAGCAATAAAGAATTTTGTATTTAAAGTTTGTGCATTTTTAAAGACATAGTGCTTTTACACACTTAATAGACTACAGTTAAGTATAAACATAACTTCTATATTCACTGGGAAACTAAAAAAATATTATAATTAGTATTATTGAGATATTACTTTATTTTTGTGGTCTCAAACTAAATCTGCAATATCACCGAAGTATGTCTGTATATGAAAAGTCACAGGACCTAACTAGCAAAAATACAACTGACAAAAAAAGAACAATGTAGAATAAATCACTCTCTATTATCTTGCCATTTAGCTACAGTAATCAAGATAGATTGTATTGGTGGAGGGATAGATACAAAAATCAATGAAACAGAATAGAGGTTCTAGAAAGAGACCCATACAAATATGCCCAACTGATTTTTGACAAATATGGAAAACCAGTTGAGTTTGTAGTAGAGCAATTGGACAAAAATGGAGGGAAAACCATACCTTATAGAAAAATAATAATACTTCAAAATTGATCATAGATTTAAATGTAACTCATAAAACTATACAACTTTTATAAAACAATTAAAAAAGAAAGTCTAGGGCAAGGAAAAAAATTATTAGAGCTGAGAGCAAAGGACCAGTATATAATTAGAAAAATTGATCTGTTGGATCTCATCAAAATTAAAAGCTTTTGCCCTGTGAAAGCCCATGGGAAGAGAATGGAAAAACAAGTTGTGACTTGGAGAAAATATTTTAAAATGACATTTCTAATAAGAACTAGTATCCAAAATATATAAAGAACTTTCAAAGCTGAACAGTAAAAAAAAAAAAATGCAACTAGGAAACAAGGAAAAGACATAAACACATTTCACTAAAAGAGGATTTACCGATGACAGATAAACACATGAAATTTTTTTCAATATAACTAGTCACAAGGGAAATAAAATTAAAGCTACACCTATCAGAATGGATAAAATAAGAAACAGTGACAATGTCAAATTCTGGCAAGGATACAGATAAACTGGATTATTCACACCGCGATGGTAGAAATGTTAACTGGTACAGCCATCCTGGAAAACAGTTTGTCAGTTGATTATAAAACTAAACAAGTACTGATACAACCCATCAATTACATTCTTGGTCATTTATTCTAGGCAAATAAAATGTTGTCTTCATAAAATCTTTATTTATAAGAGCCAAAAGATGGAAACAGATCACATGTCCTTCAATGGGTTAAGTATACCACACTGTGGTACACTTATACCATGGAATACCACTCAGCAATAAAAAGGAATAAACCATTGAAATATGAAACAACTTGAACAAATCTATAGGGAATTGTGGTAAGTTAGAAGAATGGTTATCACAAAAGGTCACTAATTTTATGACTCTGTTCATATGATATTCTTGAAATAAATTGTAGAGATGGATAAGTGATTAGTAGTTGCCAAGGAATGGAGTGGGTGGGTGGGAGTTAAGTGGGAGTGTCCATAAAAGGGAAGGACAAGGGATTCTTGCAATGTGGAACAGTTCAGTATTTTGACTGTGAGGATGGATACACAAACCTACACATGTAATAAAACTGTATGGAACTAAATACTCACACATGAATACAAGTCAAACCAGAAATCTCTGTAAAAGACTGATGAATTGGATCTATGTCAATATGATTGAGGTACTATACTTTAGTTTTGCAAAATATTATCATTGAGGGTAACTGGGTAAAAAGTACACGGCATCTCTCTACATTTATTGTTACAGCGGCATGTAAATCTATAATTACATCAATAAATTTTTCTAATTTTTATTTTTAGTACATTAAATTTACTCATAAAACATTCTAAAAATGTAAATTTTTTCTTTTTTAACAAAGTATAATAAAACATTAAAAAACTCAAGACAGAATAGTTGGCATTTACAATTCAAAATCAAATTAGGAGAATATTAAATATTTATGAAACTATATCTTTTTAAAATATTTATAAAGTTTCATGCAAGTTTGTAGAAATGACATAAAAGATCAGCTCAATAAAAATTGCAATTAAAAATGGCTTATATACTCACATTACAGTTCTTATTTGATAGCACTGCTTTAGAACATTCTCCTTCAATTTTCTAAATAGTGGGTAGCTACTGGAATGAAAATAAATACAAATGTAAAAACTTGGGCATTAACTAAAATTAACTGTGATCATGTTGCACTTAAAGGTTATTTGCCTTAATGCATTTCAAAGCGAAAATACCCACATGGCCCATCTCTTTCATTTACATTACCTGCTTAAGAGTTATAGCCAGAATTGACATTCAAAAATATTTCACAATCAGTATGTCATAGACATTAACCAATGAGAATGGACTTTTGTTTAATATAACCAGTACAACCACATTTATGGAATCAGCTGAATATCAGACCTACTTATAGACATGCTTTTAACTCTTGCTCAATACAGGCATACTATGTTTTATTGTGCTTCACAGATATTACGATTTTTTACAAATTGTAGGTAAGACCCACCACCAGCAAAAAGATTCTGACTCCGACCAGAGAGTCCCAGCTTTGGTTCCCGCTGCCAGCACATACCTTAAATGCAGTTTGTCCCGGGCCCCAGTTGAGGTCGTGTGGGTGGCAACCACTCCATGTGTCTCTCTCACATCGATGTTTCTCTCTTTGTCTCTCTCTCCTTCCTGCTCTATCTGAAGATAAATGCCTGAGTGGCCTTGAGTGAGGATTTAAAAAAAAAAAAAGATTCTGACCTGTGCCCTTGCTGTTTTGGCTCAGTGGTTAGAGAGTCAGCCTGCAAATCAATGAGTCGTGGGTTTGATTCTGGTCAAGGGTACATACCTCGGTTGTGTTTTGTCCCGGCCCTGGTTGGGGTCAAAGGGAGGCAGCCACTTGATGTTTCCCTTTCATGTTGATGTCTCTCTCTCTCTCTCTCTCTCTCTCTCTCTCTCTCTCTTCCTCTCTCTCCCTCCCACTCTATCTGAATAAAAATGGGAAAATGCCCTCAGGTGAAGATAAAAGAAAGAAAAGATTCTGACTTGCTGAAGGCTCAGATAATGGTTAGCACTTTTTAAATTTTTTTTTTATCCTCACCGGAGGACATTTTTGCATTTATCTTCAGATAGAGCGGGAGGGAGAGAGGGAGGAAGAGAGAGAGAAACATCGATGTGAGAGAGACACATCAAGTGGCTGCCACCCACATGACCCCAACCGGAGCTGGGGACAAACTGCAAACGAGGTACGTGCCCTTAGCGGGAACCAAACCTGGGACTCTCTGGTCTGCAGGCTGATGCTCCAACCGCTGAGCCAAACCAGCCAGAGTGATGGTTATCATTTTTAACAAAAAAAAGTATTATTTGATTAAGGCATATAGATTGTTTTTCAGATGTAATGCTATTGCACACTCAGTAGATGACACTATAGTGCCAATATAACTTCTATATGCACTGCAAAACCAAAATATTTTTGCGACTAGCTTTATTGCAATATTGATTTTATTGCAGTGGTCTGGAACCGAATCTGAAATATATTTGAGGTATGCTTGTACTATACTATTTCCTACATAATATGCTTTGGGTTACTAAAAGACTTATTTTCCTCATGACTACCAACCAATTCTGAAATAATTAGTAAATGCACATTGAGCACTCTTTTAACAGTAGAGATCCTACTAGGTTGAAATTCTGGGACCTGGATGTTCAGGGCTTTATCTTGGGCAAGTCCTACCTTCCCCCACATTTTCCTGTCATTAGCAAGAAGGGATTACATGACATTATGTGTAAGATTCTTACCATCTAAAATATTCTGTGCATACATTTAGTCAATAATTTATCTAATTTTTTTTCAGGTTGTAAACAGACATGTAAAGCAAATGAGCCCCTCAAAAATAAAAAAATAAGACAAACCTGTAACTAAACTTTCATGAACAAAGCTGAGTTGTAACCAAAGAATACTCAGTAGAAATTCAATCTAATAAATGGTTAATAGTTTGCACAAGCATTATTTTGCTATACAGTGATTAGACATTAACAGCAAAGAAATTAGGAAGACCAAAGACAAACTTTATATTTCTCCCAACACTGTTCTGCTGACAGCTATACTACTTTGATCACTGAGATTGGGCTAAAGCAGCTTTTTGAAGTTCCAAACTTCATCTCAGTGAGTCACAGCCCCAACCACAAGAGAATAAAAGTGCAGGGAGATAGCAGAGAGGCAGAGAACATGAAACTGTAGTCTCCAGAGAAAGAATCACTTAGATAAAGGGAAAAGCTGTTCTTAGGCCACGTATATTTGTTACCTAAGGGATTTCCAAGTGGCCAAGCTAGGGAGATGGTGTCTAACAAACTTAGATTTCAATCCTACTTATACCACTTACTAGCTAAGTGTCTTTAGTAAAGGCATTTTATTTCAGTCTAAAAATTGAATAATAATACCACACTACACTGGAAGTATTAAGTGAGATAATATGTATTAAATCACCTAGCATAGAGTTTGGCCCGTAGAAGATGACTGAAGTTAGGGTTTTCCTGAAACCCCAATCTCCACTAACCCACAGGCCAGTTCCCAGGGGTTTGCACCTGGAACACAGTGTACAATTGAATTTAGAGAGGCTTTTGGCTACAAGGCATGCTGATTTCACCATTTGCCTGTGGAAGTGGATACTGAAGATGAGCCAGAGAAACCAATGCAGTTTAGTCCCCTGGCTTTAGATAGAAAGGACAATGGAAAAGGAAAGCAAATCAGCACTCTGCTCCTATTTTGTCCTGCAGCCTCCAAAGCAAGCCTACTAACAGCACTCATTAGGGTGAGAAACCAGTTTGAGAGAAAAGAGGGGAAAATGTATCCAGAGGGCTATTAGTAATACAAACATTGGTGTATAGTCTGAGGTGGCTTTTCTAACACCTAACCAAAAATTGTTCTGGAAATGGGAGTTAGAATAAAGAGGGGACAAGAAAGAGACCTTCAGCAGTAGAAAAGTGAAACCTAGCTGGACGTTTTAATTTTACTTAGATTCGGGCAATTCTAACATTTCTGGACTCCTCTGCTGACCTCATCAGTAATGTTTCTCTTTGTACTGAACATTAAACCTTACTTATCCTTAAACTGAAGGGACTAAAATTTTTGTTCTAGACTGTCGCTATAACCAGGGAAAAGGATGATTTTGTTGAACTACCCCAGCTTTCCTATCTATGCCTTTTAAGCAGGCAGGTTTCTTGAGTCTCATCCCCAGAAAGTTGTGTTCTCTGGTATACTGCATTCCAACCTTCTCTCGAAGGATTACTTGATCAGAGTTTCAAGTAATTCCTCTTTCAGAGATAACTAAAATGTACCAGGGAATTCTGAGAGATAAAAAAGAAAAATGACCCAAATGGTAGAATAGTGAACTTCCCGTTCTTTCGCCCAAGTGCTTCTTCCAATGCTGAAATTGATAGTAGTAAACTTGAGTAACTACTGGCCTAATTCCAAATGAACTTCAACAACAAATATTTACTGAGCCCCTATCATGGTTCCAGACACTGTCTCATGTCTTTTATGGAAAATAGCCAAAGTGTGTATTATTAACCCTATTTTACATATGAGGACTGAGACACAGAAAGGTTGTGTCATTTTCAGGAGCAAACAGCTAGCAAATGGCAGAGGTGAGAATTTAAATGAAGACTACCTTACTTCAAGGCTAATGTACTTTCTTCTAAATATAGTACATATAGTACATGGTCTTTCTGACCTCACAATGATTTAAAAATTACACTCAAAAGAAAAGGAACTCTTATGCTTTAGGACAGTATGGATGGATCTGGAGAGTATTATGCTAAGCAAAATAAGCCAGTCAGAGAGAGACAAATACCACATGATCTCTCTCATATGTAGAATCTAATAAACAAAATAAACTGACGAACAAAATAGAACCAGAGGCATGAATACACAGAACAGACTGACAGAGGTTGGGGCCAGGGGCTGGATAAAAGAAGGTAAAGAGAGTAGCCGAACAACATGTATACATAGTCCACGGACACAAACAACAGAGTGGTGAAGGCCAGGGAAGGGGTGGCAGGGGCTGGGAGGAGGTGGGCAAAGGGGGTGGGGTTTCGGGGACATCTGTAATAGTGTAAACATTTTAAAACTAGGAACATAAAGTAAAAGCTTATTCAGATTTCTTTTCATTGCACTCAAGTCTCAATTCACTGGTCCTGATAAACTACAGATTCTGCTCCTTACAGAACCCCTGACATAGCCATGGTTGGTTAGGAAATAAAAGGATGACATAATCTTCCAGTTCTTTTCCCTTTGCCACTAAAAATCTGACCAAAAACTCAACCTGCTCAGGAGTCACATTATTTGTTCTGTCAAACTTCTCCTCATGCTTTCTACCACAGTATGAAGTGAGATCTAGGGCACAGTGATAGGCCTTTGCTCAATAAAAACACCTTTTCCAACTGCAGGTGAAGACCTTCAATTACTTTCTCAGCCACCATAGTCTTTAATCACACATGGGAGATCACACTTAGAACACAGATGCCCCAGGCAAGGAAAGGAGTCACTTCAATTTAATTAATGGAAAATGAAAGATATTGGGGCCTTTCCAAGTGTAGATGTGAAGATCTGCTCCATGGAGGTATCAAAGATGAGTCCGGTTTTCTCATTTTACATATAAGGAATGTGAAATCCAGACAGGGGAAGGGAATTACCCAAAGTCACACAGTGAGAGATGAGAGTAGAACCCAAGTATTTGACTCTCAGTCACATGCAAATATCAGGAGCCTGGAAGTAGTGTTAGGGTAGCAATGGCAGAGAGTGGATGGGCCAGGTAGAAGAAGATTGCAGAAAAAAATTGGGGGTAATTTACTTCATAGTTTAGAGACCAAATGTTTAAACTTAAGTGCCCAACTTGAGTAAGTACAATATAGGAACAACTTGTTTTATTACATTTCACTTTATTGTGCTTCACAGATGCTGCTTTATTTTTTTTGTGTGTGTACAAATTAATGGCAAGACCCTCCACCAGTAAAATGATGCCTCTCTTATTGTGATACTTTATTGCAGTGGTGGAACCAAACGCCCAATATCTCCAGCATATGCCTATATTAACACACAGCACTAGGAGGATTAAATGAAATGATATACATTGTAGTAC